CCAAGACGACGACGACGACCGACAACGACGACGACGAAGACGACCGCAGCGACGGCGACGACGGCGAAGGCGAGGAGGACGATGGTGACAACGACGACGACGATGATGACGACGACCACGACGACGGCGACAACGACGATCACGACAACGACGATCACGACGACGACGACGACGACAACGGCGACGGCGGCAGCGACGACGACGACGACGACGCAAACGACGACGACAATGACGAAAATTATGACGACGACGTTGACGACGACGACGACGACGTCTACCACGACCACGACCCCGACCAACTCCACGACAACGACAGCGACAACGACAACAACCACAACGGTGACTGACGACGGCGACGGCGACGGCGACGGTGACGGCCACGGCGACGACGGCGATGGCGACGACGACGGCGACGGCGACCACAGCGGCGGCTGCGACGGCGACGGCAACGGCGACGGCCAGCGACGGCCACGGCCACGGCCACGGCCATGGCGACGGCGACGGCGACGGCGACGACGCCGACAACGACGCCGGCGACGACGGCGACGACTGCCGCCTTGCGCTGAGCGAGGGAGGGGGGGGGTCATTACCCCCCCCACTTTACGGGGAGGGGACGGGGGTGTCGAGACCTGCAGGTTCGAGGGCGGGGTGGGGTTTCTCGACTGGGGGTAGGGGGTTCGCCTTCTGGACCTTCTGGTTCTTCGGGGGGGAGTGGGGGGTCCTCCCAGTTCAGTTCTGGGGGGGTCGGGGTTTGGGGGGGTGGGGGGGTCCCCCGTGCTTTCCGAGACCCCCATTTCGGATTCGTTCAGGGGAGGGGTCACATTGAATTTGTCAATGTCTTCCCATCCCAACTCGTCTCCTCCTTTTTCCTCCCCCACCTGCTTCCTCCCCTCCTCCTCTTGCGTCCTTCCATTCCTTTTCCTCTTTCTCCTCCTGTATCCGTCCTCCTCTTCCTCCGCGTCCTTCATTTCTCCGCCTCGTTCCTCGGTAGCCATTTTGGTTCAAGCCGTTTTGGCGCAAGCCGTATTGGCTTCATCGTTCCAACCAGCATTGCTCGTCGGACTGTTTTTCTTGTTCGCACCAGCAGCGATGGCCCCCGTGATTGCAAAGCCCGAGGTCGCACCCGGCACGAAGGCGCCCTACGTGGACGGCGCTAAGGTTCTCGTGGATGGCAAGGTCGTGCCGTGGGAGGGCGCCTGCAGCGACGTCCTGAGCCCGCTCTTCGCCGCGGACGGCAGCCGCATCGTCATCGGCAGGCAGGCCGTCTTCACCCCAGAGGCCTCGCTGGCCGCGGTGGAGGCCGCGGCCAGGTCTTGGGCACGGGGCCGCGGCGAGTGGGCGCAGATGTCCATGGAGCGGCGCGTCGCCGCGGTCGAGCTCGCGGTCGAGAGGCTGCGGGAGCGGCGGTCCCAGATCGTCGAGATCTTGCAGTGGGAGATCTGCAAGAACGACGCGGACGCGGCCAAGGAGTTCGACCGCACCATGGAGTGCATCGCCGCCAGCATCGCCCAGCTTCGGGCCGCGGAGTTCACGGACGTTGTCTGCGAGGGGGGTGTTTACGCCATCTTGCGCCGCTCGCCGGTGGGTGTGATGATGAATCTGGGGCCGATGAACTACCCTTTCAACGAGACCTACGCCACTCTCATCCCGGCGCTCTTGTGTGGCAACTCCTTGGTCATGAAGATACCCAACCTCGGAGGCCTCGCCCACGTGCTCACCATGGAGGTGTACGCGGAGTGCTTCCCCAGGGGCGTCGTGAATTTCGTGGCCGGGCGCGGGCGTGATACTTTGCCGCCCATCATGCGCACGGGGAAGGTGGACCTGTTCGCGTTCATTGGCTCCTCCAAGGGGGCCGACTCGCTCATCCGCGAGCACCCGCAGCCACACCGCCTGCGCAGCCTCCTGTCGCTGGACGCCAAGAACCTGGGCATCGTGCTGCCGGACGCCGACCTCGGCGTGGCCGTGAAGGAGTGCCTCGCGGGCAGCACCGCGTTCAACGGCCAGCGCTGCACTGCGATTAAGCTGATCATGCTCCACGAGTCCGTCGCCGACGAGTTCTGCCAGCGCTTCTCGGAGGCGATCGCCGCACTGCCTGCCGGGCTGCCCTTCGGGAAGAACGCCATCACTCCCCTGCCGGAGGCGACGCCAGGGTATCTCGCCGAGCTCGTGGAGGACGCCAAGGCCAAGGGCGCGAGGGTGATCAACGAGCGCGGCGGCGAGACGGACCGCACTCTCGTCTTCCCCGCCGTGCTGTACCCTGTGACCAAGGAGATGCGCGCCTTCCACGAGGAGCAGTTTGGGCCGCTGGTCGCCATCGGCACGTACTCCGACGTCGAGGACGTCCTGCAGCACCTGGCGGACGCCCACTTCGGCCAGCAGGTGGCCCTCTTCACCAGCTCGGCCGCGCAGGGAGGGCAGCAGCTGTCGCACATCCTCGACGCGTGTGCGCTCGCCACCTGCCGCGTGAACATCAACACGCAGTGCCAGCGCGGTCCGGACTCATTCCCGTTCGCTGGGCGCAAGTCCTCCGCGCTGGGAACCATCAGCGTGTCGGAGGTCCTGAGGGCCGTCTCCGTGGAGACGCTGGTGGCGTCCAAGAGCCACGCGGAGACACAGGGCATTGCACGGGGGTCCAGCGTGTTTGCTCCAATTGTGGGCCGCGAGGATACGGCCCGCGCGGGCCCCGTCCTTCTCTCTCAGGCCCGTGCGGGCCCGGTCGCGAGCGAGAAAGCAGGTGCGTTCAGGAGCCTGGCAGGCGATTCGTTGGTGGCTGCTTGAGCGGGTTGCCAGTGTGCCTCGGCAGTTTCCTTTTTCTTCGGCAGGCTCTGCCTGTGCGTTCGTCCATGCCCTCTGTCTGGGTCGATAAGTGCGCGCGTGTGTGGACACACCGAATGTCCATTTCTCCAGGCATTGCCTGCGATGTCCAGGCGAGCATGGTGTCTTCTTGCAAAAGCCGCCTGGCTCGTTTGCATTTCCAGAAACCTATGCAGTCGCACATGCTTTATGGCAATAATGGTTGCACGCGCTTCGGGACGTGTTGTATGTCCAGTTCTCCAGGCATTACCTGCAGTGTGCAGTGTGAATACCGTGCCTTGTGACAGAAGGCACCTGGCTTGTTGCGCTGCCAGCAAACTCTACGTTTGCGAAGCTGCAACGGTGTATTTACACAGCTTTTCTCCCGGAGGAAGTGTCCTCCAACGTGAGACCTAGGCAAGTCATGCAGCAAGACGTTGCGCTTGTGACGTAGATTGTCTGATGGTCTGTTCTTTTTTTGCCACGTGATGATACATAAGAGCACATTCGCGATGAAGGTCCCGCAGCCACTCCCTCCCAAAGGAACAATCATCCGCCTCATCATTCACATCCACATCCTTGCGAGCAGATGAAACACTTGACGAGTATAGCCTCCCCGCGAAGCAGAACGACCCGAGGACTCACTCACCTTGCAGCCCCGGGCGAGGCACATAAGAGGACCCGAACAGGGGACCCAAGGAGCTCCGAAAGTGCCTCCCAACATGCACCGCGGCGCGCAGCTGCTGCGTTGTGACGTTGACCTGTTCTGCACTTCGGGCTCCCCTCCCGCCTGGAGGTTGGATCGGTTCACGCAGAGATGCTGCCGAGGCCTGGCCCCGCCGCATGCGCTGCGAAGAGCAGTCGTGGGCACGCCGCGTAGCTCGAAGCTCGGAGGAGGAGGGGGAGGATGAAGAGGAGTAAGAGAAGGACGAGGAGGAGGAGGAGGAGGGGAGGAGGAGGAGGAGGAGGAGGAGGAGGAGGAGGAGGAGAGGAGGAGGATGCTGGTGGGGGGGAGGAGGATGAGGAGGAGGGAGGAGGAGGAGGAGGGAGAGGAGAAGAGGAGGCGGAAGAGGGGGAGGAGGCGGAGGAGGATGAGGAAAGTAGAGGGTAGAGAGTAGAGGAGGGGGGATGAGGAGGAAGGCGGAGAAGTGAGGAGGAAGGAGGAAGAGGCGTTGAGGAGGCGGGGAGGAGGAGAGGGTAGGAGGGGAGGAGGCGGAGGAGGAAAAAAAAAGGAGGAGAAGAGGGAAGGGGGAGGAGGAGGGAGGAGGAGGAGTATGAGGATGAGGAGGAGGATTATTCTCATGAGTAGGTTAGAGTGAAGGGAGTAGGGAGGATTAGGGGGAGGGCGCAATGTGGAGGATGTAGTTCGAGTTTCGGTGAGGAGTAAAAGTAGGGAGGGGACGCGGGAGAAAGGCGGGGAGGCGAGGAGGCGGAGGAGGAGGAGAGGATGCGGAGGAGGAAGGAGGGGGAGGCAGGAGTAGGGGGAGGAGGCGGAGGGGGAGGAGAGGAGGCGGGGGAGGAGGAGCCGAGAGGAGGAGGAGGCGGACGAGGAGTCCAGACAAGGATGGGAGGAGGAGGAGAGGAGGAGGAGGAGGAGGAGGAGGAGGAGGAGAAGGAGCAGGAGCAGGAGCAGGAGCAGGAGCAGGAGCAGGAGCAGGAGGAAGAGGAGGAGGAGGAGGAGGCGGAGGAGGAGGAGGAGGAGGAGGAGGAGGAGGAGGAGGAGGAGGAGGAGCTGGCTCGCCCTGTCGGGCGCCCAACGGGGCCCTGGAAGTGCTGGACGGGCTCGCGCGCCCGAGGGGCCGAGGCCCCGCGCGCCTCCCCGCACGTGCGACGGCCTCCGGGCCGCTGGTGTTTGCGCTCGCTCGCCCGCCGCGCGCCCGCAGAGCCTTCGATGGGGAGGGGGCACCGCGCGCGTGGCAGCGCGGCGCGCCCAGGAGACCGACCACCGCCTGAGGAAGACGAAGATCGTCGCCAGCCTCGGGCCCGCCTCGTGGAGCGAGGATCCATCGCCAGAGTAGGTCCACGTCCACCGCTTCGGAGTCGTGCTCCGAGATCTCGAAGAGCTGTGGATGTGGATAGCTGCCCGCCCGAGCGGGCGGGCAGATATCCACAGCCACCGCTCCACGAGTCCTCGGAGCACGACCGTGCGGCAGTGGATATGGGCATCTTCTGGCGGCGCCGAGGAGATGATCCCCAAGATGATCGAGGCGCGGCTGCGGCGGGCAGGGCCTCGCCCGGCGGCTCCGCCCAGGGGGGGGGCGCAGGTGGCAGGTCAGGTGGCGTTGCCATCCTTGTTTTTGCTTTTTGGCACCGGGCGTTTGCGCCCGATTTCGGGGCCCAGGGCCGTCGCAGACAGACCCGGCTCGGAGGATGCAGCAGAGAGATGGGGCTTTGGATTCGGGTGGTGATTTTCCGCGACCTTGCATGTTTCGCGGTGTTTCGCTTTTCGCGGTGCTACATTTCTCGCGGTGTTGCATGTTCCGCGATGTTGCATTGTTCGCGATGTTGTGGGTTCGGGTTGCGCTTTCTCGCGATGCCGCCTCCTCTCTCTCCAACCTCGGACCTCAGCGCCCTATGGCGGCGGGCCTTCTCGGGAGCCCCCGCGCGCTTCCCGAGGCGCCGCCCGTGGCCTCGGAGAGGGGGGGCTCCTCTCTGCGCAGGCCTGGGAGGGCTGCTCGCGAGGCGCGGGAGGGCTTCCGAGGCGCCCCGCCGCCTTCCGAGGAGGCCGGCTCCCTCCTCCTCCTCCTCCTCCTCCTCCTCCTCCTGCTCCTCCTGCTCCTCCTCCTCCTCCTCCTCCTCCTCCTCCTCCTCTCCTCCTTCCTCGCTCCTCCTCTCCTCGCTTCCCCTCCTTCTCTCTCCCTCCTCCTCCTCCTCCTCCTCCCTCCTCCTCGCCACTCCCTCCTCCTCCTCCTCCTCCTCCTCCTCCTGCTTCCTCCTCCGCCTCCTCCTCCTCCTCCTCCTCCCTCCTCCTCCTCCTCCTCCCCCTCCCCCCGAGGGGGAGAGAATTCACCCAATTTGACTTGGTTTTTTCTGTGAGTGCAACAAGCTTTGTTTTGACCAAGTCAATCTACAGATGAGCCGTCGTACGATCTGCGGACATATGTACACGCACGCATGCATTCATAAACACATGTGCAATCCTCCTCCTCCTCCTCCTCCTCTTCCTCCTCCTCCTCATCCTCATCATCCTCCTCCTCTTCCTCCTCCTCCGCCGCCGCCTCCTCCTCCTCTTCCTCCTCCTCCTCCTCCTCCTCCTCCTCCTGACTCAAGCAACCCAGGCCCAGGCTTCCCTTGCCCCGGGCCGGCTCCAGGACCTCCGCGCGGTGCTTGGGGGATCTCGTCGCAGCTGTCGCATGTTCGGCCGCCTTTGACGTTAACAAACACTGGAGTTTCAAACGGTGCTACGGGATGGGTGCCGGAGAGTGGCGCCCAAGGCTCACCCCGAAGGAGCGCAAGGCCCGGCGGGCGTGGGCACAGTGGTCGGCTGAGCGAGCCATCCACCGCCTAACCCGCGAGGTGGAGCAGCTCCGCAAGATGCAGTATATGGACCCCAACGTCGTCAGCTACAGCGTTGGGAGCAGCGAGCGGGAGCAATATGGACAGTGGGAGCATCCACAGGACACGGCAGGAACGTGGGGGTCAGAACGGCAGTGGCAGCAGCGAGCAGAGCTGGAGGCGAAGCTCGAGTCCAATGCCATCAGCTACAACGACGAGGCTGTGTCGCGTGACGGGAAGGTCGAGCCCGACGTCATTAGCTACAGACCAGAGGACGGTGCATGCGAGAAGTCTTGGATGGCGGCAGTGGCAGCGACGAAGCACGCGCCCAATGTCATCAGCTACAACGACGGTGCATGCGAGAAGTCTTGGATGGGGGCAGTGGCGGAGCCGATGTTCGAGTCCAGCGCCATCAGCTACAACGACAAGGCTGTGTCGCATGACGGGAAGGTCAAGCCCGACGTCATCAGCTACAGACCTGAGGGCGGTGCATGCGAGAACCCCTGGATGGCGGCAGTGGCGGAAACGAAACACGAGCCCAACGCCATCAGCTACAACGACGGGTTTGCGCTGCGCGACGCCAAGGTCGAGCCCGACGTCATCAGCTACAGACCCGAGGGCGGTGCATGCGAGAAGTCTTGGATGGTGGCAGTGGCGGAGATGAAACACAAGCCCAATGCCATCAGCTACAACGACGGCGCATGCGAGAAGACTTGGACGGCGGCAGTGGCGGAGACGAAGCACGAGTCCAATGCCATCAGCTACAACGGCGGGGATCGGACTCGCGGTGCGAAGGTCGAGCCCGACGTCGTCAGCTACAAAAAAAGAAAAATCACTGAGCCAGACGTGGAAGCGTTTCTCCGCGAGCGAGCTGCAGAACAGAAGGAATTTGAAGATAAATGCATCACACGAGCCATGAGACGGAAATCCCAGCCTTTCGTGCGACGCGTTGCACACCTGGTGGCCGCATCACAAGGCAGTAATGGGAGATGGATTCACACACAGGTTGGAGTCGGTCGTACTCAACGTTACGAATGGAAATGGGAGTCTACAAGTGGCAACACACCGACGAAGCAGGACGGCGGCAGTGAGGTTGGAGACCTTCTCTCAGCTCTCGGTGCAGCCATTTCCTCAGCGTCGACGCGTTGAACTACTCCCTGCTGTCGAAGGCCTTCTGAGTGGAAGGTGGAGCCGCGCCGTGCGGTCGAGCGGAATATATCGCTACGCGATCAGGCAGAGACTCCAGAGACTCCTCCTCCTCCTGATCCTCATTTCCTCCTCCGCCTCCTCCTCCTCCTCCTCCGCCTCCTCCTCCTCCTCCGCCTCCTCCTCCGCCTCCGCTTCCTCCTCCTCCTCCTCCTCCTCCTCCTCCTCCTTCTCCTCCGCCTCCTCCTCTTCCTCCTCCTCCTCCTCCTCCTCCCCCTCTTTTCCTCCCTCATCTCCTCCTCATCCTCCTCCGCCTCCTCCTCCTCTCCTTCTCCCTCATCTCCTCGCCTCCTTCTCTCCTCCTCCGCTTCCGCCTCCTCCACCTCCTTCTCCCCTTCTCGCCCCTCCTCCCCCCTCCTCTTCTCTTCCTCTCCACTCTCTCCTCCTCCTCCTCCTCCTCATCCTCCTCCTCCTCTGGACAATGGACACCAAGGACTGCGCTCATCCTGAGGGTCACGAGCCTTTTCAGCCTTTCTGGGCCAACGGGGGACCCTCTTGGGGAGCTTCGGGGCAGTTTTGGAGGCCATCTTGGGCGTCTTGGAGGCCATCTTGGGCGTGTTGGAGGCCTCTTGGGCTTTCTTGGAGCCCTCTTGGGGCCATCCTGGAGGCCACTTGGGGCGTCATGGGGCCCTCTTGGGGGCCTCTTGGGCGATCTTGGGGGCCTCTTGGGCCGTCTGGAGCAGTCTGAATGCCGAGAAGAAACACATTCCAAAATCTTTCAAACACCTGAGGACACTTAATGATTTTTGGTCTCTTCGGGCCCTCCTGGAGGACCTCTTGGAGGCCTCTTGGGCCGTCTGGGAGGCCTCTGGGGGGCCTCGTGGGCCGTTTTGGGCCGTCTTGGACTCTCTTGGGCCGTCTTGGAGGCCGTCTTGGGCCATCTTGGGCGGACTTGGAGGCCATCTGGGACCATCTTGGAGGCCATCTTGGGCCAGCTTGGCCATCTTGGAGGCCATCTTGGAGTGTTTCCCGAATCGGTTTGGAAAGCCTTCTGGGAACACGCGGGCGCCTTGAAGGTCATCGTGGCCGTCTTGGAGGCCTCTTGGGCGATCTTTCGGCGATCTTTTGGGGCTCTTGGGCCGTCTCGGGCCGTCGGAAGGCCGAAAAGAATGACATCTCACAATCCGTTAAAACACCTATGACCAATCAATGTTTTTGGCCTCTTCTGGCCTTCCTGGAGGCCCTCTGTGGGGCCTCTTGGGCCCTTTTGGGCCAGCTTCGAGCCAGCTTCGGCCATCTTGGTGGGTTCCTGGCACGTATGACGCCGTCGGGAGCAGTCTTGGGGGCCTTTCTGGGCCAACGGGGTGCCCTCTTGGGGCGCTTCGGGGCAGTTTTGGAGGCCATCTTGGGCGTCTTGGAGGCTATCTTGGGCGTGTTGGAGGCCCCTTGGGCCGTCTTGGTGCCCTTTTGGGGCCATCTTGGAGGCCACTTGGGCCGTCATGGGGCTCTCTTGGGGGCCTCTTGAGCGATCTTGGGGGCCTCCTGGGCCGTCTGGAGCAGTCGGAATGCCGAGAAGAAACACATTCCAAAATCTTTCAAACACCTAAGGGAACTCAATGATTTTGGCCTCTTCAGGCCCTCCTGGAAGACCTCTTGGGGGCCTCTTGGGCCGTCTGGGAGGCCTCTTGGGCCGCCTCTTGGGCCGTCTTGGGCCGTCTTGGACTCTCTGAGGCCCTCTTTGAGGCCGTCTTGGGCCATCTTGGGCGGAATTGGAGGCCACCTGGGGCCGTCTTGGAGGTCATCATGGCCGTCTTGTGTGGCCGAACGTTGAGGCCAGACCTGTCAAGCCATCGGACCATGTGTTCCCCGAATCGGTTTGAAAGGCCTTCGGGGAACACGTGGGCGTCTCGAAGGATATCTTGGCAGTCTTGGAGGCCTCTTGGGCGATCTTTCGGCGATATGTGGGGGCTCTTGGGCCGTCTCGGGCCGTCGGAAGGCCGAAAAGAAGGACACGTCAACCCCCGTCAACAACCTACGGAAAACCAATGTTTTTGGCCTCTGCTGGCCTTCCTGGGGGCCCTGAGGCAGAAACAAGCAAAACAAGCAAACACACCAAGGAAAAAGAAATCAAAAACAAAGCTGAGACTCTCTGCGATTTTCAAATCTACCACCATAATGTACTTGATTTAAATTATATTCTGGTCGTGGATTTGAACATCGCAGAGGGTCTCAGTTTTTTTTTGTTTTTCCCCTGGTATTTTCCCTGGGCCTCTGGCCCTGGGTAGGCCCAGGAGAATACCAGGGCAAACAAGCAAAACACGCAAACAACCCAAGGAACAAGCAAAACAAGGCAAACCACGCTGAGAGTCTCTGCGTTTTTCAAATCCACCACCAGAATGTACTTGAGTTTAATTGTATTCTGGTCGTGGATTTGACAATCGCAGAGGGTATCAGCTTTGTTTGCTTTTTTGTTTTTTCCCTTGCCTTGTTTGCCTTTTTGGGCTTTTCCCGTGGTATTTTCCCTGGGCCTCTGGCCCTGGGTCGGCCGAAGAGGATATCAGGGAAA